TAACGGAATACGAAAGAAAATTATATGAGACTGGTCCAAATACCGAATTTCTCATGGATAAATGTGTGTTCTTCTCCCTTGAATTTATGGCGAATGTTGACTATTTGCTAATTTCTGCATTCTGTTGTTTTAAGTGTCCACAGTTTTTCATAACCGTGGAGCCAGTGGAATTCCAGTATATGAAATTCTTCCTGATCTATTTCAAAATAATGATGATCTTATTGAATTTCGCCGCGAGGATAAATTTGTGAAATACTGTGACATCCAATTAGTAAGTTGGCCAATTTATAACTCATCTTTCTCGAGAAGTTTATAAGAATACGTCTCTTAATTATTTTGCGTATTTAGGCAATTCCAGAGTTTACATACGTGTTTAGTACTTTAAAGAATATGATATTGGAATTTACCAGTATGAGTTCTGCTAAATATGACGAAATACTCTCGTGCGCATGCAAGGAACTCCTGAAATATAAAACATCATTTCATGTGACAAGGTTTTATGCCCAAAAACGAACGAAGGAACTTCAAATTATCTGAAGAGATTTCCGGTCATCTTCACGCTCATGTGGTTCTCTTTGCGATTAATACATTGTGTTTTTAAGTTATAAGATTTAAATTGTTTATGGGTCACATGGCTGTGATATTTTTGTTTTATATGTATGCATATACGCATGATAATACGATAATAATTACAAGATCAAATAAAAAAATCCAATGATATAATTTAATACAAGTTTAAGTGACTTCGTGAATTACGAGAAAATTGTGTTGATCAAAATATGTTAAAATGCAGTATAGATAATGGGTGTTACCTATATCACATTTAATCTAAATTGTGACTTCGACACTAGTACTTTTACGTAATACAATGCGCCTGTACGAGATTGTTGATATTTTGAAGAACAATCGAAGACTGCTCGTGCAATATTAAATTTCAAGGGTACTAGTTTCGAAGTACAAAAATGTTTATTTACTACAAACAAATGCCACCAATATTTGACGTTTGAATGTTACAACTATACAAACATAAATATTTCTACTTTCAAAAATTTATTACTTTAAATTTTTTTCTTGTTAAAAAGGACGAGTCGGTCTCTAGCTCGAGCTACTTTTCGCGTGACAATAATAATCGAACGCTTGGATTATTATGCTAAATATGTTATTATCACGGTGTTAGTTAGTCTTTTACTTGGAATTTTATATTTAAAAACTATTTAACAAGATATTTATGTAATAATATTTATAAATTTTCTTGATATACAAATACAGTATTTATTCATTAACAAACTTTTATTCAATTAAAACCAAAATATCAATTTCTAGCTGATATCATTTATTTACAGCAGCAGAGTTAAAGTAGCTATTTTAGGGTGTAGAAAAATGCTTCCCGTGCGTCACTCGTGCAGTATCTTGTGCAGGTGTAGGTGTATGTGCGTCACGTGATCAAAACGTAAATTAAATTAAATTTTTGTATAATAAAAATAGAGATAAATCATTGATTCTTTATTGAATTAAAAATGTTTTAATGAAAAGATTTTTATTAAATAAATTAATTAATTGTGAAATAATAACGGTAAAAATACAAATAATAACAATGAAAATACAAATAATAAATAATAAAAAAAACAATATATAATATATAGCTTATTTTATTTTTTAAATAAAATAGTAAAATATGAATTTCCTTTTCTTTTATTCTTTTATTAAAAGTATATAATACTTTAATACTTTTTGTTTTGTATTTTTCTAAAAAATCTATAAAAAATCTTCTAAAATTTAATAATAATAAATTTTTATTTATTATTAAATTAGAATCATTAATAATTATTTATTATTTATTAATTTAATATCAATATTATTATTATTTAAACTAATATTATCAAAAACTATTTTATTATTATTAATTTCTTTAATGCTAATAGTAATATCATTAATTTTATCAATTTATTATTCTAATAATTATTTTTTTTAAATAGTTAATAAAAAATTTAATTGATATTTTATAATATTAAAAACAATAATTATAAAAATTAAAAATCTAATATTAATAAAATATTTAAATTGATATTATTGCAAATTTATAAGTAATAAAATTTTTTATTACTTGAAATATAATATATAATATTAATAGAAAAAACTAACAATTTTTTTTATAAAAATTATTATCAATTATTTTATTTTTTTTGTTGTACTATTATTAAATATTGCATAGACTATCTCTATACATTAAATACATAAAATAATTAGTAGCTTAGCTATTACAAGTATTATATATAACAACAATTGTTAAAAAACAACAATTGATTAAGACACTTTAAAAAAGTAAAATTTATAATATCACAGTTCTTCAAAAAACAACTGGATACCTATTAAAACATTATATACTGTAAATAGGTTAAACAACTTAGAAAAACTAATAATCTAAAGCAAAGATGTCATTCTGACTAAAGATGGGTCCCTAAAGTATTTAGCATATAAAATTTACGTCTCTTTATGTCTACGTCTCCTAGAGGATATAATTTTTAGCTCTTTACTTCAATAGGAACATAATTTCAAAAATGATTTGTATAGATGCTTAAAACTATAAAGAATCTTTATAGGTAGTTTTTTTTTATTCCTTAATATAAAAATGAAAATTTTTAATAATAAGGAATATTTAAGACCTACCTGGTTATAGTTCAATGGGCTAAGGCAGGATAGGGCTAACCTATGACCCACAGTTCAACTCTAGCTAGAGAACAATTCATATATTCCAAATAGGGACTTTGTGTTACTACCCCTGTAACTTGTGATAGAGAGCAATTTGGATTGTTCCAGCAATCAAGGAACCTTATAGATAGACTATACTCCATAGGTCGAAAAGATAAATGATCTGATTGATAAACTTTCTGATCAAGTATTGCCCAGGAAATACCTTCAAAAGGAAGAAGAAGTTTCATGAGATTTTTCCAATAGCAGAAAGAAAGGTACAGACGATTAAAACTATTAGTCGCACAACTATTAATAAAAGTTTCACATGTTTGATGGTAGCAAGGATCCGGTCGGGGTGCAGGAAGTTGCTTGTATCACAGTATGTTCTATCTTAAGGGATATATTTGCGACGATTGACTGCATGACCCCATAAAACGTAATTTCCACATGTGTTGCTAGGTTAGATTAGGAAAGGTGAAGCTGGATCTGATTCCCAGACGAATTTGATATACTGGTGTACCCTTATCCCATCAATGATATTTCACTGACTAAATCCTAGTAAGTTTTGGCTAAACTGAATGGTTGAAAAACAGTAGTAGGTGGCTGCTAGTAAAATTATTCTGGTAGATAAGGAATACTTGCCTTGATATAGTTAACTCTTTATATATTGAGTATCCTTACAGTAGTGGCAAATTTTTGCTGTTCTGGCTGCCCATGTGAGCTTGTGTTCTTTGAAATCAATGTCATTTGCTATTACTTTGATAAAATCCTTCTGGAAGGTGAAATTTAAACTTGTGAACCTTCTAAACATTTTGTTTGTCTGTAATGTGTAATACACTTTGATGCCGACTTGTTACATGATATTACTGAGGTCTTAAGCTGTTATCGAGTCTAGAAACTTGGTTAGTGTAATGTTGAATTCATCTCTTTTTAATCTTGTTTGTTTTGTATAGTAGTATAGAAGCATTCTCATTGTCATACCCTCTATCATTACTGACCAATCATTTATGTCTGTATCATAGTCTGATTGGTGAGTAAAGATTACTACTGCTGACTTGTGTGGTCCTGTTGTCTGCATCTGGATATACTCAATAGGACCAAATTTAATGGATCTTGTCACAATATCTTTCTTGAAAAAGTATTGGGAAATATTACAGATTCTGACTGATTTGCGATTGGTTTCATATATGTTAAGCATTGATGCTAATCTTGATTTGGAGTTTTTGAACTCTGAGATTGGATATGTACATGATTTCTCGATATCTGTATAGTTACTGAAAATAGCTATGATGTTTGGTTCTCCTGTTGGCTCTTCTACTCTAACATGTTTAAGAAAAAACCTACTTGCCATTCTCTTCCATATAAATTGGATTTTTTCTTGATTATCTTTTCTGGATACTTGGTCAAATGTAAAGAATACTTTGCCACTGCAAAGTGTGTTTACGTTTTTGTTGTTGCTATTGATATTGTTATTGCTATTGATATTGTTGATGCTGTTATTGTTGTCCTGAACTAATGTATCTGATACTTTTCTTTTCCCTTTCTTGGTATAGGTAAAAGTTCTATTTTTCTCTTTTTTTTTTTTTTTTTCTCTTCTGTTTCATCTATATACTCTGGATTTGTTGTCGGTCTTGTTTCTGGATACTCTTGGCTGTTTGTTTGATTATTCTCAATATCTTAAAGGTCTTCTTTCATGCTGACATCAGTTGTATCTACTTCTAACATACTTATGGACTTCAGGTGTTTGTGGTTTGGGATATTCATTTCCTGTATTACATCTGCTTTTCTGCTGCTGATTGGTATTGGTCTCTTAAATGGGGTGGTTTTCTTGACAGTTGTTGTTTTCTTAATGATTTTTCCATTGTTCTTTGCAACTAAGTTATCATTATATTCAAGAGTTGTGTTTCTGAGAGAGCTGCGCAGAGTATACTGGCTAGACATATTGTTTAAAGTTTTCTAATTTGATAATTTAATAGAATGGAAAAAAGTGTCCATTAAATATTTTTATATTAATTAATAATATTATTTTTATCTTATTTATTATGAAAAAACATATAAAAAATAACTATATAAAACTCTTTCCACTGATTCCTTTGCCAATCCAAAAAACAGACATTTTCAAAAATATTTTTTTATTTTTGATAATAAAGTCTATACACTTTCCTTAAAAACCTTACTTTCTGAAGGCTGGTACCTTTCCCACTTATTTACTTTTTCTTCTTTAAAAACTTTGGATATTTCAACAACAAAATAAACAAAACTTTACCCATTTGGTCTATCGCAAGAATATCTTATTGGAAAGAAGAAACTTGTCCAAAAATACCTCCACGACTTTCTTCTTAGATCTGGACTCTAGAAAGTGAACCACTAGTAAATGCATTTTCTAAGCTCCATAAAACCTTAGGTCACTGTAAGCGAACATCTTCTGCTAGAGGCAAGTGGATAAACTAGTTGATACCTACCAAGTAAATGCAATTCCCAAGCTCTATAAGAACCTTGGGTCCACCATAAGATTCAAAACTTCTGTAGTCCAGGCAGATGGATAAGCTAATAGAAATCTACCTTTAGGTATATGATCTTTCTTCACCAGTCATACAGTCCTGTGGTAGTACTTTCAAGCATAAAAAATTTTTTTGATTTTTTCTGGGGAATTTTGTCTACCTCAGTTTGATTCTGAATTTTTTATTACACCAGATTCTCTGATTGGTAATTGGTTGAAATCTTAAATTGATTAATCAATACATAAAAGAAATATAAACAAGACACATATCCACACGTGCCCTGTGTCATACCACATTATAACCAATGATATAATTGGATAAAGCAAAAAAACAAGGTGACGAGATGTTTTTTGTCAAAAAAATGTTTGAAAGTCTTTCTTCTCCCTATTGTGCTGGTTTTTTTTTTCCTCAAGATCAAAAAAGGTTCTCATTAGGCTAGTAATTGATATTGATAGATTTTTATTTTACCAGTGCAAGCTCTTCTCCTTCTCCTTTCATATTCTTACCCTTTTTCTTTTCAAAAAATAAAAATTTTTTTACCTTAGGACCACAAAGGTTAAGCCAGGGTGACAGTTCTAATGAAGGACTGGCTTTGAGATTTTAGAATAACAAGGAACATTTTTTTTTAATTGAGCAACTTGTTCATCTCCCTTAATCACATCT